CGAGCCACCAGAGGCTGGTTTGCAGGGGGACAAAATGGACCAATATCCGTTTGGACAAAAGGCATGAAGTTGAAGATGATTTTGACACTGGAAAGTTTGCCAGCCAGCATTGTTATAAGTTGCAGACAATTTGATGGTTGGGTGGGACTGACAGAGAGGCACTTGGGAGACATGCACTTGTGCATCTGACTGTTGAAACCGTTTGTGCCAATGACCTCCTACTCCTTCCACATGTGACGGGCTCGTCCGGGATTTGAACCCGGGACCTCTCGCACCCTAAGCGAGAATCATACCCCTAGACCAACGAGCCACAATCTCTCGCAACAAAGACAACTCTAGCAGAGTTCCATTTGATCCAAAATCCTCACGCAGACCCCTAGCTTTCACTTTCAAAGTCTTGGCTTACTGAAATGCAAACTGAAAGGGTTCACACACAGCTGCAAATGAGAAAAAGGAGGCTTGGATCTGCACTAAATCATCAAAGTGGATGCACACAGCTACAGGCTAAGAGCCCGTTGCTTAAGCCAAGAGCAACATTTGACCCATTTTGGTACCCAGACATGTCCTCTATCACATCCATGGCATCGTCACACTTGGACCTTTGTGAGAGGATCGTTCTTTAACGACCCCTTGGCTGGGATCATTTGGATCGTTAGGATATATGCCAAGACAAACAATAGCACTCTGATGCTACGACAAGTGTGAAGCGATCGTCTGGGAGAAGTGGTTGCAGCTCTACTCATATTGAAAGCAGGTGCCTTTGCTTTGCAACATGACGCCACTGTACCTTGTCCAGGCATTTGACTACCTTAATTCTGAGAGTTTTGTCCATCTTTCAGCACCAGGTGGGTTGACCCTTTCTTCCAATCCAAGGAATGATGTTTTACAAAGTTTGTCTTGTAACGTTGGATCAGGTCATGACACTGTGCATTTTCAAATCTCAGTCTAAAGTATGTAGCCTCTTAACATGGTGGATGTCAGGGTATTAAGTGAACAGAGTGGGCTCGTCCGGGATTTGAACCCGGGACCTCTCGCACCCAAAGCGAGAATCATACCCCTAGACCAACGAGCCACAATCTGGGTTGAGAAAATGATGGAGCAACTCTGGGGGTGGAATGAAAACAGCTCTTCAGTCCTCTAAATCAACGCAAAAGACTTTTGCGCGCTCAACTGCTCATTATGCACTTCCCACTCTACAACTGTATGAAATGTGTCCGTAATTTGCGTATCTGGTCTAAGATCATGCATTCGTCCTGCTTTTTGCCTGAAAAGGTGCTCACAGCATGCTGATCAGGACAGATATTTGCCAGAAAATGATTGTGTTTTCCAGAGAAACATATTTCATGGAGACCCTGTAGAGGCCTTCATTTTTGTGCCCCACATGATAAATGTACACAGACAAAGATTTAAGTCCCATTTCAACAGGTGGGGGCTCGTCCGGGATTTGAACCCGGGACCTCTCACACCCGAAGCAAGAATCATGCCCCTAGACCAACGAGCCACCAGAGGCTGGTTTGCAGGGGGACAAAATGGACCAACATCCGTTTGGACAAAAGGCATGAAGTTGAAGATGATTTTGACACTGGAAAGTTTGCCAGCCAGCATTGTTATAAGTTGCAGACAATTTGATGGTTGGGTGGGACTGACAGAGAGGCACTTGGGAGACATGCACTTGTGCATCTGACTGTTGAAACCGTTTGTGCCAATGACCTCCTACTCCTTCCACATGTGACGGGCTCGTCCGGGATTTGAACCCGGGACCTCTCGCACCCTAAGCGAGAATCATACCCCTAGACCAACGAGCCACAATCTCTCGCAACAAAGACAACTCTAGCAGAGTTCCATTTGATCCAAAATCCTCACGCAGACCCCTAGCTTTCACTTTCAAAGTCTTGGCTTACTGAAATGCAAACTGAAAGGGTTCACACACAGCTGCAAATGAGAAAAAGGAGGCTTGGATCTGCACTAAATCATCAAAGTGGATGCACACAGCTACAGGCTAAGAGCCCGTTGCTTAAGCCAAGAGCAACATTTGACCCATTTTGGTACCCAGACATGTCCTCTATCACATCCATGGCATCGTCACACTTGGACCTTTGTGAGAGGATCGTTCTTTAACGACCCCTTGGCTGGGATCATTTGGATCGTTAGGATATATGCCAAGACAAACAATAGCACTCTGATGCTACGACAAGTGTGAAGCGATCGTCTGGGAGAAGTGGTTGCAGCTCTACTCATATTGAAAGCAGGTGCCTTTGCTTTGCAACATGACGCCACTGTACCTTGTCCAGGCATTTGACTAGCTTAATTCTAAGGGTTTTGTCCATCTTTCAGCACCAGGTGGGTTGACCCTTTCTTCCAATCCAAGGAATGATGTTTTACAAAGTTTGTCTTGTAACGTTGGATCAGGTCATGACACTGTGCATTTTCAAATCTCAGTCTAAAGTATGTAGCCTCTTAACATGGTGGATGTCAGGGTATTAAGTGAACAGAGTGGGCTCGTCCGGGATTTGAACCCGGGACCTCTCGCACCCAAAGCGAGAATCATACCCCTAGACCAACGAGCCACAATCTGGGTTGAGAAAATGATGGAGCAACTCTGGGGGTGGAATGAAAACAGCTCTTCAGTCCTCTAAATCAACGCAAAAGACTTTTGCGCGCTCAACTGCTCATTATGCACTTCCCACTCTACAACTGTATGAAATGTGTCCGTAATTTGCGTATCTGGTCTAAGATCATGCATTCGTCCTGCTTTTTGCCTGAAAAGGTGCTCACAGCATGCTGATCAGGACAGATATTTGCCAGAAAATGATTGTGTTTTCCAGAGAAACATATTTCATGGAGACCCTGTAGAGGCCTTCATTTTTGTGCCCCACATGATAAATGTACACAGACAAAGATTTAAGTCCCATTTCAACAGGTGGGGGCTCGTCCGGGATTTGAACCCGGGACCTCTCACACCCGAAGCAAGAATCATGCCCCTAGACCAACGAGCCACCAGAGGCTGGTTTGCAGGGGGACAAAATGGACCAACATCCGTTTGGACAAAAGGCATGAAGTTGAAGATGATTTTGACACTGGAAAGTTTGCCAGCCAGCATTGTTATAAGTTGCAGACAATTTGATGGTTGGGTGGGACTGACAGAGAGGCACTTGGGAGACATGCACTTGTGCATCTGACTGTTGAAACCGTTTGTGCCAATGACCTCCTACTCCTTCCACATGTGACGGGCTCGTCCGGGATTTGAACCCGGGACCTCTCGCACCCTAAGCGAGAATCATACCCCTAGACCAACGAGCCACAATCTCTCGCAACAAAGACAACTCTAGCAGAGTTCCATTTGATCCAAAATCCTCACGCAGACCCCTAGCTTTCACTTTCAAAGTCTTGGCTTACTGAAATGCAAACTGAAAGGGTTCACACACAGCTGCAAATGAGAAAAAGGAGGCTTGGATCTGCACTAAATCATCAAAGTGGATGCACACAGCTACAGGCTAAGAGCCCGTTGCTTAAGCCAAGAGCAACATTTGACCCATTTTGGTACCCAGACATGTCCTCTATCACATCCATGGCATCGTCACACTTGGACCTTTGTGAGAGGATCGTTCTTTAACGACCCCTTGGCTGGGATCATTTGGATCGTTAGGATATATGCCAAGACAAACAATAGCACTCTGATGCTACGACAAGTGTGAAGCGATCGTCTGGGAGAAGTGGTTGCAGCTCTACTCATATTGAAAGCAGGTGCCTTTGCTTTGCAACATGACGCCACTGTACCTTGTCCAGGCATTTGACTAGCTTAATTCTAAGGGTTTTGTCCATCTTTCAGCACCAGGTGGGTTGACCCTTTCTTCCAATCCAAGGAATGATGTTTTACAAAGTTTGTCTTGTAACGTTGGATCAGGTCATGACACTGTGCATTTTCAAATCTCAGTCTAAAGTATGTAGCCTCTTAACATGGTGGATGTCAGGGTATTAAGTGAACAGAGTGGGCTCGTCCGGGATTTGAACCCGGGACCTCTCGCACCCAAAGCGAGAATCATACCCCTAGACCAACGAGCCACAATCTGGGCTGAGAAAATGATGGAGCAACTCTGGGGGTGGAATGAAAACAGCTCCTCAGTCCTCTAAATCAACGCAAAAGACTTTTGCGCGCTCAACTGCTCATTATGCACTTCCAACGCTACAACTGTATGAAATGTGTCCGTAATTTGCGTATCTGGTCTAAGATCATGCATTCGTCCTGCTTTTTGCCTGAAAAGGTGCTCACAGCATGCTGATCAGGACAGATATTTGCCAGAAAATGATTGTGTTTTCCAGAGAAACATATTTCATGGAGACCCTGTAGAGGCCTTCATTTTTGTGCCCCACATGATAAATGTACACAGACAAAGATTTAAGTCCCATTTCAACAGGTGGGGGCTCGTCCGGGATTTGAACCCGGGACCTCTCACACCCGAAGCAAGAATCATGCCCCTAGACCAACGAGCCACCAGAGGCTGGTTTGCAGGGGGACAAAATGGACCAATATCCGTTTGGACAAAAGGCATGAAGTTGAAGATGATTTTGACACTGGAAAGTTTGCCAGCCAGCATTGTTATAAGTTGCAGACAATTTGATGGTTGGGTGGGACTGACAGAGAGGCACTTGGGAGACACGCACTTGTGCATCTGACTGTTGAAACCGTTTGTGCCAATGACCTCCTACTCCTTCCACATGTGACGGGCTCGTCCGGGATTTGAACCCGGGACCTCTCGCACCCTAAGCGAGAATCATACCCCTAGACCAACGAGCCACAATCTCTCGCAACAAAGACAACTCTAGCAGAGTTCCATTTGATCCAAAATCCTCACGCAGACCCCTAGCTTTCACTTTCAAAGTCTTGGCTTACTGAAATGCAAACTGAAAGGGTTCACACACAGCTGCAAATGAGAAAAAGGAGGCTTGGATCTGCACTAAATCATCAAAGTGGATGCACACAGCTACAGGCTAAGAGCCCGTTGCTTAAGCCAAGAGCAACATTTGACCCATTTTGGTACCCAGACATGTCCTCTATCACATCCATGGCATCGTCACACTTGGACCTTTGTGAGAGGATCGTTCTTTAACGACCCCTTGGCTGGAATCATTTGGATCGTTAGGATATATGCCAAGACAAACAATAGCACTCTGATGCTACGACAAGTGTGAAGCGATCGTCTGGGAGAAGTGGTTGCAGCTCTACTCATATTGAAAGCAGGTGCCTTTGCTTTGCAACATGACGCCACTGTACCTTGTCCAGGCATTTGACTACCTTAATTCTGAGGGTTTTGTCCATCTTTCAGCACCAGGTGGGTTGACCCTTTCTTCCAATCCAAGGAATGATGTTTTACAAAGTTTGTCTTGTAACGTTGGATCAGGTCATGACACTGTGCATTTTCAAATCTCAGTCTAAAGTATGTAGCCTCTTAACATGGTGGATGTCAGGGTATTAAGTGAACAGAGTGGGCTCGTCCGGGATTTGAAACCGGGACCTCTCGCACCCAAAGCGAGAATCATACCCCTAGAACAACGAGCCACAATCTGGGCTGAGAAAATGATGGAGCAACTCTGGGGGTGGAATGAAAACAGCTCCTCAGTCCTCTAAATCAACGCAAAAGACTTTTGCGCGCTCAACTGCTCATTATGCACTTCCAACGCTACAACTGTATGAAATGTGTCCGTAATTTGCGTATCTGGTCTAAGATCATGCATTCGTCCTGCTTTTTGCCTGAAAAGGTGCTCACAGCATGCTGATCAGGACAGATATTTGCCAGAAAATGATTGTGTTTTCCAGAGAAACATATTTCATGGAGACCCTGTAGAGGCCTTCATTTCTGTGCCCCACATGATAAATGTACACAGACAAAGATTTAAGTCCCATTTCAACAGGTGGGGGCTCGTCCGGGATTTGAACCCGGGACCTCTCACACCCGAAGCAAGAATCATGCCCCTAGACCAACGAGCCACCAGAGGCTGGTTTGCAGGGGGACAAAATGGACCAACATCCGTTTGGACAAAAGGCATGAAGTTGAAGATGATTTTGACACTGGAAAGTTTGCCAGCCAGCATTGTTATAAGTTGCAGACAATTTGATGGTTGGGTGGGACTGACAGAGAGGCACTTGGGAGACATGCACTTGTGCATCTGACTGTTGAAACCGTTTGTGCCAATGACCTCCTACTCCTTCCACATGTGACGGGCTCGTCCGGGATTTGAACCCGGGACCTCTCGCACCCTAAGCGAGAATCATACCCCTAGACCAACGAGCCACAATCTTTCGCAACAAAGACAACTCTAGCAGAGATCCATTTGATCCAAAATCCTCACGCAGACCCCTAGCTTTCACTTTCAAAGTCTTGGCTTACTGAAATGCAAACTGAAAGGGTTCACACACAGCTGCAAATGAGAAAAAGGAGGCTTGGATCTGTACTAAATCATCAAAGTGGATGCACACAGCTACAGGCTAAGAGCCCGTTGCTTAAACCAAGAGCAACATTTGACCCATTTTGGTACCCAGACATGTCCTCTATCACATCCATGGCATCGTCACACTTGGACCTTTGTGAGAGGATCGTTCTTTAACGACCCCTTGGCTGGGATCATTTGGATCGTTAGGATATATGCCAAGACAAACAATAGCACTCTGATGCTACGACAAGTGTGAAGCGATCGTCTGGGAGAAGTGGTTGCAGCTCTACTCATATTGAAAGCAGGTGCCTTTGCTTTGCAACATGACGCCACTGTACCTTGTCCAGGCATTTGACTACCTTAATTCTGAGAGTTTTGTCCATCTTTCAGCACCAGGTGGGTTGACCCTTTCTTCCAATCCAAGGAATGATGTTTAACAAAGTTTGTCTTGTAACATTGGATTAGGTCATGATACTGTGCATTTTCAAATCTCAGTCTAAAGTATGTAGCCTCTTGACATGGTGGATGTCAGGGTATTAAGTGAACAGAGTGGGCTCGTCCGGGATTTGAACCCGGGACCTCTCGCACCCAAAGCGAGAATCATACCCCTAGACCAACGAGCCACAATCTGGGCTGAGAAAATGATGGAGCAACTCTGGGGGTGGAATGAAAACAGCTCCTCAGTCCTCTAAATCAACGCAAAAGACTTTTGCGCGCTCAACTGCTCATTATGCACTTCCAACGCTACAACTGTATGAAATGTGTCCGTAATTTGCGTATCTGGTCTGAGATTATGCATTCGTCCTGCTTTTTGCCTGAAAAGGTGCTCACAGCATGCTGATCAGGACAGATATTTGCCAGAAAATGATTGTGTTTTCCAGAGAAACATATTTCATGGAGACCCTGTAGAGGCCTTCATTTTTGTGCCCCACATGATAAATGTACACAGACAAAGTTTAAGTCCCATTTCAACAGGTGGGGGCTCGTCCGGGATTTGAACCCGGGACCTCTCACACCCGAAGCAAGAATCATGCCCCTAGACCAACGAGCCACCAGAGGCTGGTTTGCAGGGGGACAAAATGGACCAATATCCGTTTGGACAAAAGGCATGAAGTTGAAGATGATTTTGACACTGGAAAGTTTGCCAGCCAGCATTGTTATAAGTTGCAGACAATTTGATGGTTGGGTGGGACTGACAGAGAGGCACTTGGGAGACATGCACTTGTGCATCTGACTGTTGAAACCGTTTGTGCCAATGACCTCCTACTCCTTCCACATGTGACGGGCTCGTCCGGGATTTGAACCCGGGACCTCTCGCACCCTAAGGGAGAATCATACCCCTAGACCAACGAGCCACAATCTCTCGCAACAAAGACAACTCTAGCAGAGTTCCATTTGATCCAAAATCCTCACGCAGACCCCTAGCTTTCACTTTCAAAGTCTTGGCTTACTGAAATGCAAACTGAAAGGGTTCACACACAGCTGCAAATGAGAAAAAGGAGGCTTGGATCTGCACTAAATCATCAAAGTGGATGCACACAGCTACAGGCTAAGAGCCCGTTGCTTAAGCCAAGAGCAACATTTGACCCATTTTGGTACCCAGACATGTCCTCTATCACATCCATGGCATCGTCACACTTGGACCTTTGTGAGAGGATCGTTCTTTAACGACCCCTTGGCTGGGATCATTTGGATCGTTAGGATATATGCCAAGACAAACAATAGCACTCTGATGCTACGACAAGTGTGAAGCGATCGTCTGGGAGAAGTGGTTGCAGCTCTACTCATATTGAAAGCAGGTGCCTTTGCTTTGCAACATGACGCCACTGTACCTTGTCCAGGCATTTGACTACCTTAATTCTGAGAGTTTTGTCCATCTTTCAGCACCAGGTGGGTTGACCCTTTCTTCCAATCCAAGGAATGATGTTTTACAAAGTTTGTCTTGTAACGTTGGATCAGGTCATGACACTGTGCATTTTCAAATCTCAGTCTAAAGTATGTAGCCTCTTAACATGGTGGATGTCAGGGTATTAAGTGAACAGAGTGGGCTCGTCCGGGATTTGAACCCGGGACCTCTCGCACCCAAAGCGAGAATCATACCCCTAGACCAACGAGCCACAATCTGGGTTGAGAAAATGATGGAGCAACTCTGGGGGTGGAATGAAAACAGCTCTTCAGTCCTCTAAATCAACGCAAAAGACTTTTGCGCGCTCAACTGCTCATTATGCACTTCCCACTCTACAACTGTATGAAATGTGTCCGTAATTTGCGTATCTGGTCTAAGATCATGCATTCGTCCTGCTTTTTGCCTGAAAAGGTGCTCACAGCATGCTGATCAGGACAGATATTTGCCAGAAAATGATTGTGTTTTCCAGAGAAACATATTTCATGGAGACCCTGTAGAGGCCTTCATTTTTGTGCCCCACATGATAAATGTACACAGACAAAGATTTAAGTCCCATTTCAACAGGTGGGGGCTCGTCCGGGATTTGAACCCGGGACCTCTCACACCCGAAGCAAGAATCATGCCCCTAGACCAACGAGCCACCAGAGGCTGGTTTGCAGGGGGACAAAATGGACCAACATCCGTTTGGACAAAAGGCATGAAGTTGAAGATGATTTTGACACTGGAAAGTTTGCCAGCCAGCATTGTTATAAGTTGCAGACAATTTGATGGTTGGGTGGGACTGACAGAGAGGCACTTGGGAGACATGCACTTGTGCATCTGACTGTTGAAACCGTTTGTGCCAATGACCTCCTACTCCTTCCACATGTGACGGGCTCGTCCGGGATTTGAACCCGGGACCTCTCGCACCCTAAGCGAGAATCATACCCCTAGACCAACGAGCCACAATCTCTCGCAACAAAGACAACTCTAGCAGAGTTCCATTTGATCCAAAATCCTCACGCAGACCCCTAGCTTTCACTTTCAAAGTCTTGGCTTACTGAAATGCAAACTGAAAGGGTTCACACACAGCTGCAAATGAGAAAAAGGAGGCTTGGATCTGCACTAAATCATCAAAGTGGATGCACACAGCTACAGGCTAAGAGCCCGTTGCTTAAGCCAAGAGCAACATTTGACCCATTTTGGTACCCAGACATGTCCTCTATCACATCCATGGCATCGTCACACTTGGACCTTTGTGAGAGGATCGTTCTTTAACGACCCATTGGCTGGAATCATTTGGATCGTTAGGATATATGCCAAGACAAACAATAGCACTCTGATGCTACGACAAGTGTGAAGCGATCGTCTGGGAGAAGTGGTTGCAGCTCTACTCATATTGAAAGCAGGTGCCTTTGCTTTGCAACATGACGCCACTGTACCTTGTCCAGGCATTTGACTACCTTAATTCTGAGAGTTTTGTCCATCTTTCAGCACCAGGTGGGTTGACCCTTTCTTCCAATCCAAGGAATGATGTTTTACAAAGTTTGTCTTGTAACGTTGGATCAGGTCATGACACTGTGCATTTTCAAATCTCAGTCTAAAGTATGTAGCCTCTTAACATGGTGGATGTCAGGGTATTAAGTGAATAGAGAGGGCTCGTCCGGGATTTGAACCCGGGACCTCTCGCACCCAAAGCGAGAATCATACCCCTAGACCAACGAGCCACAATCTGGGCTGAGAAAATGATGGAGCAACTCTGGGGGTGGAATGAAAACAGCTCCTCAGTCCTCTAAATCAACGCAAAAGACTTTTGCGCGCTCAACTGCTCATTATGCACTTCCAACGCTACAACTGTATGAAATGTGTCCGTAATTTGCGTATCTGGTCTAAGATCATGCATTCGTCCTGCTTTTTGCCTGAAAAGGTGCTCACAGCATGCTGATCAGGACAGATATTTGCCAGAAAATGATTGTGTTTTCCAGAGAAACATATTTCATGGAGACCCTGTAGAGGCCTTCATTTTTGTGCCCCACATGATAAATGTACACAGACAAAGATTTAAGTCCCATTTCAACAGGTGGGGGCTCGTCCGGGATTTGAACCCGGGACCTCTCACACCCGAAGCAAGAATCATGCCCCTAGACCAACGAGCCACCAGAGGCTGGTTTGCAGGGGGACAAAATGGACCAATATCCGTTTGGACAAAAGGCATGAAGTTGAAGATGATTTTGACACTGGAAAGTTTGCCAGCCAGCATTGTTATAAGTTGCAGACAATTTGATGGTTGGGTGGGACTGACAGAGAGGCACTTGGGAGACACGCACTTGTGCATCTGACTGTTGAAACCGTTTGTGCCAATGACCTCCTACTCCTTCCACATGTGACGGGCTCGTCCGGGATTTGAACCCGGGACCTCTCGCACCCTAAGCGAGAATCATACCCCTAGACCAACGAGCCACAATCTCTCGCAACAAAGACAACTCTAGCAGAGTTCCATTTGATCCAAAATCCTCACGCAGACCCCTAGCTTTCACTTTCAAAGTCTTGGCTTACTGAAATGCAAACTGAAAGGGTTCACACACAGCTGCAAATGAGAAAAAGGAGGCTTGGATCTGCACTAAATCATCAAAGTGGATGCACACAGCTACAGGCTAAGAGCCCGTTGCTTAAGCCAAGAGCAACATTTGACCCATTTTGGTACCCAGACATGTCCTCTATCACATCCATGGCATCGTCACACTTGGACCTTTGTGAGAGGATCGTTCTTTAACGACCCCTTGGCTGGAATCATTTGGATCGTTAGGATATATGCCAAGACAAACAATAGCACTCTGATGCTACGACAAGTGTGAAGCGATCGTCTGGGAGAAGTGGTTGCAGCTCTACTCATATTGAAAGCAGGTGCCTTTGCTTTGCAACATGACGCCACTGTACCTTGTCCAGGCATTTGACTACCTTAATTCTGAGGGTTTTGTCCATCTTTCAGCACCAGGTGGGTTGACCCTTTCTTCCAATCCAAGGAATGATGTTTTACAAAGTTTGTCTTGTAACGTTGGATCAGGTCATGACACTGTGCATTTTCAAATCTCAGTCTAAAGTATGTAGTCTCTTAACATGGTGGATGTCAGGGTATTAAGTGAACAGAGTGGGCTCGTCCGGGATTTGAAACCGGGACCTCTCGCACCCAAAGCGAGAATCATACCCCTAGAACAACGAGCCACAATCTGGGCTGAGAAAATGATGGAGCAACTCTGGGGGTGGAATGAAAACAGCTCCTCAGTCCTCTAAATCAACGCAAAAGACTTTTGCGCGCTCAACTGCTCATTATGCACTTCCAACGCTACAACTGTATGAAATGTGTCCGTAATTTGCGTATCTGGTCTAAGATCATGCATTCGTCCTGCTTTTTGCCTGAAAAGGTGCTCACAGCATGCTGATCAGGACAGATATTTGCCAGAAAATGATTGTGTTTTCCAGAGAAACATATTTCATGGAGACCCTGTAGAGGCCTTCATTTCTGTGCCCCACATGATAAATGTACACAGACAAAGATTTAAGTCCCATTTCAACAGGTGGGGGCTCGTCCGGGATTTGAACCCGGGACCTCTCACACCCGAAGCAAGATTTATGCCCCTAGACCAACGAACCACCAGAGGCTGGTTTGCAGGGGGACAAAATGGACCAATATCCGTTTGGACAAAAGGCATGAAGTTGAAGATGATTTTGACACTGGAAAGTTTGCCAGCCAGTATTGTTATAAGTTGCAGACAATTTGATGGTTGGGTGGGACTGACAGAGAGGCACTTGGGAGACATGCACTTGTGCATCTGACTGTTGAAACCGTTTGTGCCAATGACCTCCTACTCCTTGCACATGTGACGGGCTCGTCCGGGATTTGAACCCGGGACCTCTCGCACCCTAAGCGAGAATCATACCCCTAGACCAACGAGCCACAATCTCTCGCAACAAAGACAACTCTAGCAGAGTTCCATTTGATCCAAAATCCTCACGCAGACCCCTAGCTTTCACTTTCAAAGTCTTGGCTTACTGAAATGCAAACTGAAAGGGTTCACACACAGCTGCAAATGAGAAAAAGGAGGCTTGGATCTGCACTAAATCATCAAAGTGGATGCACACAGCTACAGGCTAAGAGCCCGTTGCTTAAGCCAAGAGCAACATTTGACCCGTTTTGGTACCCAGACATGTCCTCTATCACATCCATGGCATCGTCACACTTGGACCTTTGTGAGAGGATCGTTCTTTAACGACCCATTGGCTGGAATCATTTGGATCGTTAGGATATATGCCAAGACAAACAATAGCACTCTGATGCTACGACAAGTGTGAAGCGATCGTCTGGGAGAAGTGGTTGCAGCTCTACTCATATTGAAAGCAGGTGCCTTTGCTTTGCAACATGACGCCACTGTACCTTGTCCAGGCATTTGACTACCTTAATTCTGAGAGTTTTGTCCATCTTTCAGCACCAGGTGGGTTGACCCTTTCTTCCAATCCAAGGAATGATGTTTTACAAAGTTTGTCTTGTAACGTTGGATCAGGTCATGACACTGTGCATTTTCAAATCTCAGTCTAAAGTATGTAGCCTCTTAACATGGTGGATGTCAGGGTATTAAGTGAATAGAGAGGGCTCGTCCGGGATTTGAACCCGGGACCTCTCGCACCCAAAGCGAGAATCATACCCCTAGACCAACGAGCCAAATCTGGGCTGAGAAAATGATGGAGCAACTCTGGGGGTGGAATGAAAACAGCTCCTCAGTCCTCTAAATCAACGCAAAAGACTTTTGTGCGCTCAACTGCTCATTATGCACTTCCAACGCTACAACTGTATGAAATGTGTCCGTAATTTGCGTATCTGGTCTAAGATCATGCATTCGTCCTGCTTTTTGCCTGAAAAGGTGCTCACAGCATGCTGATCAGGACAGATATTTGCCAGAAAATGATTGTGTTTTCCAGAGAAACATATTTCATGGAGACCCTGTAGAGGCCTTCATTTTTGTGCCCCACATGATAAATGTACACAGACAAAGATTTAAGTCCCATTTCAACAGGTGGGGGCTCGTCCGGGATTTGAACCCGGGACCTCTCACACCCGAAGCAAGAATCATGCCCCTAGACCAACGAGCCACCAGAGGCTGGTTTGCAGGGGGACAAAATGGACCAATATCCGTTTGGACAAAAGGCATGAAGTTGAAGATGATTTTGACACTGGAAAGTTTGCCAGCCAGCATTGTTATAAGTTGCAGACAATTTGATGGTTGGGTGGGACTGACAGAGAGGCACTTGGGAGACACGCACTTGTGCATCTGACTGTTGAAACCGTTTGTGCCAATGACCTCCTACTCCTTCCACATGTGACGGGCTCGTCCGGGATTTGAACCCGGGACCTCTCGCACCCTAAGCGAGAATCATACCCCTAGACCAACGAGCCACAATCTCTCGCAACAAAGACAACTCTAGCAGAGTTCCATTTGATCCAAAATCCTCACGCAGACCCCTAGCTTTCACTTTCAAAGTCTTGGCTTACTGAAATGCAAACTGAAAGGGTTCACACACAGCTGCAAATGAGAAAAAGGAGGCTTGGATCTGCACTAAATCATCAAAGTGGATGCACACAGCTACAGGCTAAGAGCCCGTTGCTTAAGCCAAGAGCAACATTTGACCCGTTTTGGTACCCAGACATGTCCTCTATCACATCCATGGCATCGTCACACTTGGACCTTTGTGAGAGGATCGTTCTTTAACGACCCATTGGCTGGAATCATTTGGATCGTTAGGATATATGCCAAGACAAACAATAGCACTCTGATGCTACGACAAGTGTGAAGCGATCGTCTGGGAGAAGTGGTTGCAGCTCTACTCATATTGAAAGCAGGTGCCTTTGCTTTGCAACATGACGCCACTGTACCTTGTCCAGGCATTTGACTACATTAATTCTGAGAGTTTTGTCCATCTTTCAGCACCAGGTGGGTTGACCCTTTCTTCCAATCCAAGGAATGATGTTTTACAAAGTTTGTCTTGTAACGTTGGATCAGGTCATGACACTGTGCATTTTCAAATCTCAGTCTAAAGTATGTAGCCTCTTAACATGGTGGATGTCAGGGTATTAAGTGAAATAGAGAGGGCTCGTCCGGGATTTGAACCCGGGACCTCTCGCACCCAAAGCGAGAATCATACCCCTAGACCAACGAGCCACAATCTGGGCTGAGAAAATGATGGAGCAACTCTGGGGGTGGAATGAAAACAGCTCCTCAGTCCTCTAAATCAACGCAAAAGACTTTTGCGCGCTCAACTGCTCATTATGCACTTCCAACGCTACAACTGTATGAAATGTGTCCGTAATTTGCGTATCTGGTCTAAGATCATGCATTCGTCCTGCTTTTTGCCTGAAAAGGTGCTCACAGCATGCTGATCAGGACAGATATTTGCCAGAAAATGATTGTGTTTTCCAGAGAAACATATTTCATGAAGACCCTGTAGAGGCCTTCATTTTTGTGCCCCACATGATAAATGTACACAGACAAAGATTTAAGTCCCATTTCAACAGGTGGGGGCTCGTCCGGGATTTGAACCCGGGACCTCTCACACCCGAAGCAAGAATCATGCCCCTAGACCAACGAGCCACCAGAGGCTGGTTTGCAGGGGGACAAAATGGACCAATATCCGTTTGGACAAAAGGCATGAAGTTGAAGATGATTTTGACACTGGAAAGTTTGCCAGCCAGCATTGTTATAAGTTGCAGACAATTTGATGGTTGAGTGGGACTGACAGAGAGGCACTTGGGAGACATGCACTTGTGCATCTGACTGTTGAAACCGTTTGTGCCAATGACCTCCTACTCCTTCCACATGTGACGGGCTCGTCCGGGATTTGAACCCGGGACCTCTCGCACCCTAAGCGAGAATCATACCCCTAGACCAACGAGCCACAATCTCTCGCAACAAAGACAACTCTAGCAGAGTTCCATTTGATCCAAAATCCTCACGCAGACCCCTAGCTTTCACTTTCAAAGTCTTGGCTTACTGAAATGCAAACTGAAAGGGTTCACACACAGCTGCAAATGAGAAAAAGGAGGCTTGGATCTGCACTAAATCATCAAAGTGGATGCACACAGCTACAGGCTAAGAGCCCGTTGCTTAAGCCAAGAGCAACATTTGACCCATTTTGGTACCCAGACATGTCCTCTATCACATCCATGGCATCGTCACACTTGGACCTTTGTGAGAGGATCGTTCTTTAACGACCCCTTGGCTGGGATCATTTGGATCGTTAGGATATATGCCAAGACAAACAATAGCACTCTGATGCTACGACAAGTGTGAAGCGATCGTCTGGGAGAAGTGGTTGCAGCTCTACTCATATTGAAAGCAGGTGCCTTTGCTTTGCAACATGACGCCACTGTACCTTGTCCAGGCATTTGACTACCTTAATTCTGAGAGTTTTGTCCATCTTTCAGCACCAGGTGGGTTGACCCTTTCTTCCAATCCAAGGAATGATGTTTTACAAAGTTTGTGTAGCAATCAAGACAACCCTGGGTGTGAAACCCACACATTCCTCAGAGGAAAGTTTCCTTATCTGGTCCCAGGAAACAGGATATAAATCTTTCCAGACTCGTTTACACTTTCAGGTTAAATAAGTGACCCAACCGGAGGTTGACTAAACCTCTGACTCTTCACGATTGGTCGATTCGGAGAACAGAGACAGAGTTTTTATTACCTTTAGAACTGACTCCATTTGCTGACCATCTAAATAAACATTAACGTCTCAACCCAGATCTCCCATTTGAGATTTACCTTCTTAAAGTGTGTGAACATACGGACCCCAGGATAAGGGGGGACACTGACCTCCAGACCTCGGTCGTAAAACCCTGTTCGACCATACACTGATAAAGACTACATTCCTTTGGTGAAAGAATACAAGTGACTGATCCTGACATCTTATGCATTCAGCAATGTACTAATCTGTCTAATCATGAAATTTGTGTTAAAATGAGATGTTTCCCATTTTTCTATGTGCTCCAGAAGCCGAGTTATCGCTCTTTAGTTTCTTTAGACCAACAGCTTTTCAGACTGTTTCATGAACTTTTAAGAGTTAAATTTATTGACTATGGATCATAACTTAACTCTAGGTAACAGAAATAGTTTAGAAAGGTTTGGTTTATATTTTAGTTGTTTATTTAGTATTTTTAACCATTAGGTGGTTATAATGTCATTGAATAATCTGAATGTGAGTATTTAGAATCCATTATTAATCATGATGAAGTTCATTCACATGTATTTACTCTTTTGTTGTTCACAGTTTACATGTGTTACTATCTGTTTCATTTCAGAGTAATTTAGCATGTTCAATGTGATACTTAAAACATAATGAGAAGTTTGATGTGATCCTACACTTCATTCATATGTGTTTAGTATCAAATTATTTATCATGAAACCAAGCATTCAATGATATTAATCATAGTGAGTGAGTATCAGATCTGACTCTTTTACCAGCCAAAAGAATAAGTTAGATCAAATAATCAGAGACCCGATGACCCCCTCCTCTTTCTCCTCAGACACTCCCAGTGTGAGAAGATAAAACCAGTGAAGTGGGGTTGCTCACTATCTTCACTCTCTTGTTCACTCTTCTGCTGACGCTCTTGTCCCCGGCTCTTATGCCCCTTCTCTTCTGCCCACACCCTTCTGTGGTGCGCTTCTTTATTTTCTCTTAGAACTTTTTCTTAGTCTACTAAGTTTTACGCCACGTGTTGATTCACGTTGATTTTTCTTTAACATGTCTTAGTTCAAGTTTTGAAACTTCAACTTTTTGTGCGCATAGCAATCCAAGATTAAGCCTTTGATTGATTTTTCTTTAATTTCGCGAAGCCATTTTTGAAAGTTTTCTCTGCTCGAGTCTCGTTTTTCTGAGTTATCTGCGTGATTTCAAAAGTCACCTCTGAACGCAACCCAGCAGGCCCAGGTCATCCTCTGTGCCAGAGTTTTTGAGTGAGACTAAAGAAGTACCCAAAGGAGCATCCACAGGATCCACAGGCGCTGGCTTTGCTTCGGGCCCGAGTGCTGCAACTCCTGGCTCATCCTTCGGCTGACCTCAGTCGTCTTCTGAGCTGAACCCCTTGAACTGCCAGTAGCCCCGGACCTTCGGAACCTGCTCCATCTTCTCCAAGGACCAGTCTCACTTAAGTATGCAAACCTCCAGAGCTCCAAAGAGGGCTGGTGCTGTCTCCTGCGTTCATAGCTCAGATATCCTCTTATTCTGGTAATCTTAGATTCCTCCAAATCCACATCTGAGTTTATCTCGACACCAAAGTTAGTGTAGGTTAATATGTTAGCGCATATTCACTCACTATCATTAACTTTAGTGCTCCTAGCCTGACTCAGAATCTTTATTTATTCACCTATTATTATTTATCCTCATTATCTTATCATCATTTATTGCATGTGTGTTGTACCATCATTTATCCTGTAATAAACAGATCATTATTTTTCTAAGTTCTTGACTGTTAGTGTTCTTCCAGAAGTGAAGTCCCTGAAATTAGAATTTCGACTTAAGATATGAGACTGATTAATTAAGACTGATTAATTAAAACTGACTTGATGTTTGATTTCTGAATTAAACTTATGTTTTCTTTATTTTCCCACCATTAAGGGTGGGTGGTGCCCCTTTTAACGAGTGCATAAATGTCATAATTTGAGATTATTAATCTTCAGACATTTATTATAAATTCCAATCGCTGCAGTATTATTTTGGTGCGGCCTTGTGAGGCTCATTTCAAATCACTACATTTGTCTTGTAACGTTGGATCAGGTCATGACACTGTGCATTTTCAAATCTCAGTCTAAAGTATGTAGCCTCTTAACATGGTGGATGTCAGGGTATTAAGTGAACAGAGTGGGCTGGTCCGGGATTTGAACCCGGGACCTCTCGCACCCAAAGCGAGAATCATACCATCGAGCCACAATCTGGGCTGAGAAAATGATGGAGCAACTCTGGGGGTGGAATGAAAACAGCTCCTCAGTCCTCTAAATCAACACAAAAGACTTTTGCGCGCTCAACTGCTCATTATGCACTTCCAACGCTACAACTGTATGAAATGTGTCCGTAATTTGCGTATCTGGTCTAAGATCATGCATTCGTCCTGCTTTTTGCCTGAAAAGGTGCTCACAGCATGCTGATCAGGACAGATATTTGCCAGAAAATGATTGTGTTTTCCAGAGAAACATATTTCATGGAGACCCTGTAGAGGCCTTCATTTTTGTGCCCCACATGATAAATGTACACAGACAAAGATTTAAGTCCCATTTCAACAGGTGGGGGCTCGTCCGGGATTTGAACCCGGGACCTCTCACACCCGAAGCAAGAATCATGCCCCTAGACCAACGAGCCACCAGAGGCTGGTTTGCAGGGGGACAAAATGGACCAATATCCGTTTGGACAAAAGGCATGAAGTTGAAGATGATTTTGACACTGGAAAGTTTGCCAGCCAGCATTGTTATAAGTTGCAGACAATTTGATGGTTGGGTGGGACTGACAGAGAGGCACTTGGGAGACATGCACTTGTGCATCTGACTGTTGAAACCGTTTGTGCCAATGACCTCCTACTCCTTCCACATGTGACGGGCTCGTCCGGGATTTGAACCCGGGACCTCTCGCACCCTAAGCGAGAATCATACCCCTAGACCAACGAGCCACAATCTCTCGCAACAAAGACAACTCTAGCAGAGTTCCATTTGATCCAAAATCCTCACGCAGACCCCTAGCTTTCACTTTCAAAGTCTTGGCTTACTGAAATGCAAACTGAAAGGGTTCACACACAGCTGCAAATGAGAAAAAGGAGGCTTGGATCTGCACTAAATCATCAAAGTGGATGCACACAGCTACAGGCTAAGAGCCCGTTGCTTAAGCCAAGAGCAACATTTGACCCGTTTTGGTACCCAGACATGTCCTCTATCACATCCATGGCATCGTCACACTTGGACCTTTGTGAGAGGATCGTTCTTTAACGACCCCTTGGCTGGGATCATTTGGATCGTTAGGATATATGCCAAGACAAACAATAGCACTCTGATGCTACGACAAGTGTGAAGCGATCGTCTGGGAGAAGTGGTTGCAGCTCTACTCATATTGAAAGCAGGTGCCTTTGCTTTGCAACATGACGCCACTGTACCTTGTCCAGGCATTTGACTACCTTAATTCTAAGGGTTTTGTCCATCTTTCAGCACCAGGTGGGTTGACCCTTTCTTCCAATCCAAGGAATGATGTTTTACAAAGTTTGTCTTTTAACGTTGGATCAGGTCATGACACTGTGCATTTTCAAATCTCAGTCTAAAGTATGTAGCCTCTTAACATGGTGGATGTCAGGGTATTAAGTGAATAGAGAGGGCTCGTCCGGGATTTGAACCCGGGACCTCTCGCACCCAAAGCGAGAATCATACCCCTAGACCAACGAGCCACAATCTGGGCTGAGAAAATGATGGAGCAACTCTGGGGGTGGAATGAAAACAGCTCCTCAGTCCTCTAAATCAACGCAAAAGACTTTTGCGCGCTCAACTGCTCATTATGCACTTCCAACGCTACAACTGTATGAAATGTGTCCGTAATTTGCGTATCTGGTCTAAGATCATGCATTCGTCCTGCTTTTTGCCTGAAAAGGTGCTCACAGCATGCTGATCAGGACAGATATTTGCCAGAAAATGATTGTGTTTTCCAGAGAAACATATTTCATGAAGACCCTGTAGAGGCCTTCATTTTTGTGCCCCACATGATAAATGTACACAGACAAAGATTTAAGTCCCATTTCAACAGGTGGGGGCTCGTCCGGGATTTGAACCCGGGACCTCTCACACCCGAAGCAAGAATCATGCCCCTAGACCAACGAGCCACCAGAGGCTGGTTTGCAGGGGGACAAAATGGACCAATATCCGTTTGGACAAAAGGCATGAAGTTGAAGATGATTTTGACACTGGAAAGTTTGCCAGCCAGCATTGTTATAAGTTGCAGACAATTTGATGGTTGAGTGGGACTGACAGAGAGGCACTTGGGAGACATGCACTTGTGCATCTGACTGTTGAAACCGTTTGTGCCAATGACCTCCTACTCCTTCCACATGTGACGGGCTCGTCCGGGATTTGAACCCGGGACCTCTCGCACCCTAAGCGAGAATCATACCCCTAGACCAACGAGCCACAATCTCTCGCAACAAAGACAACTCTAGCAGAGTTCCATTTGATCCAAAATCCTCACGCAGACCCCTAGCTTTCACTTTCAGAGTCTTGGCTTACTGAAATGCAAACTGAAAGGGTTCACACACAGCTGCAAATGAGAAAAAGGAGGCTTGGATCTGCACTAAATCATCAAAGTGGATGCACACAGCTACAGGCTAAGAGCCCGTTGCTTAAGCCAAGAGCAACATTTGACCCATTTTGGTACCCAGACATGTCCTCTATCACATCCATGGCATCGTCACACTTGGACCTTTGTGAGAGGATCGTTCTTTAACGACCCCTTGGCTGGGATCATTTGGATCGTTAGGATATATGCCAAGACAAACAATAGCACTCTGATGCTACGACAAGTGTGAAGCGATCGTCTGGGAGAAGTGGTTGCAGCTCTACTCATATTGAAAGCAGGTGCCTTTGCTTTGCAACATGACGCCACTGTACCTTGTCCAGGCATTTGACTACCTTAATTCTGAGAGTTTTGTCCATCTTTCAGCATCAGGTGGGTTGACCCTTTCTTCCAATCCAAGGAATGATGTTTTACAAAGTTTGTCTTGTAACGTTGGATCAGGTCATGACACTGTGCATTTTCAAATCTCAGTCTAAAGTATGTAGCCTCTTAACATGGTGGATGTCAGGGTATTAAGTGAACAGAGTGGGCTCGTCCGGGATTTGAACCCGGGACCTCTCGCACCCAAAGCGAGAATCATACCCCTAGACCAACGAGCCACAATCTGGGCTGAGAAAATGATGGAGCAACTCTGGGGGTGGAATGAAAACAGCTCCTCAGTCCTCTAAATCAACGCAAAAGACTTTTGCGCGCTCAACTGCTCATTATGCACTTCCAACGCTACAACTGTATGAAATGTGTCCGTAATTTGCGTATCTGGTCTAAGATCATGCATTCGTCCTGCTTTTTGCCTGAAAAGGTGCTCACAGCATGCTGATCAGGACAGATATTTGCCAGAAAATGATTGTGTTTTCCAGAGAAACATATTTCATGGAGACCCTGTAGAGGCCTTCATTTATGTGCCCCACATGATAAATGTACACAGACAAAGATTTAAGTCCCATTTCAACAGATGGGGGCTCGTCCGGGATTTGAACCCGGGACCTCTCACACCCGAAGCAAGAATCATGCCCCTAGACCAACGAGCCACCAGAGGCTGGTTTGCAGGGGGACAAAATGGACCAATATCCGTTTGGACAAAAGGCATGAAGTTGAAGATGATTTTGACACTGGAAAGTTTGACAGCCAGCATTGTTATAAGTTGCAGACAATTTTATATTTGGGTGGGACTGACAGAGAGGCACTTGGGAGACACGCACTTGTGCATCTGACTGTTGAAACCGTTTGTGCCAATGACCTCCTACTCCTTCCACATGTGACGGGCTCGTCCGGGATTTGAACCCGGGACCTCTCGCACCCTAAGCGAGAATCATACCCCTAGACCAACGAGCCACAATCTCTCGCAACAAAGACAACTCTAGCAGAGTTCCATTTGATCCAAAATCCTCACGCAGACCCCTAGCTTTCACTTTCAAAGTCTTGGCTTACTGAAATGCAAACTGAAAGGGTTCACACACAGCTGCAAATGAGAAAAAGGAGGCTTGGATCTGCACTAAATCATCAAAGTGGATGCACACAGCTACAGGCTAAGAGCCCGTTGCTTAAGCCAAGAGCAACATTTGACCCGTTTTGGTACCCAGACATGTCCTCTATCACATCCATGGCATCGTCACACTTGGACCTTTGTGAGAGGATCGTTCTTTAACGACCCATTGGCTGGAATCATTTGGATCGTTAGGATATATGCCAAGACAAACAATAGCACTCTGATGCTACGACAAGTGTGAAGCGATCGTCTGGGAGAAGTGGTTGCAGCTCTACTCATATTGAAAGCAGGTGCCTTTGCTTTGCAACATGACGCCACTGTACCTTGTCCAGGCATTTGACTACCTTAATTCTGAGAGTTTTGTCCATCTTTCAGCACCAGGTGGGTTGACCCTTTTTTCCAATCCAAGGAATGATGTTTTACAAAGTTTGACTTGTAACGTTGGATCAGGTCATGACACTGTGCATTTTCAAATCTCAGTCTAAAGTATGTAGCCTCTTAACATGGTGGATGTCAGGGTATTAAGTGAACAGAGTGGGCTCGTCCGGGATTTGAACCCGGGACCTCTCGCACCCAAAGCAAGAATCATACCCCTAGACCAACGAGCCACAATCTGGGCTGAGAAAATGATGGAGCAACTCTGGGGGTGGAATGAAAACAGCTCCTCAGTCCTCTAAATCAAAGCAAAAGACTTTTGCGCGCTCAACTGCTCATTATGCACTTCCAACGCTACAACTGTATGAAATGTGTCCGTAATTTGCGTATCTGGTCTAAGATCATGCATTCGTCCTGCTTTTTGCCTGAAAAGGTGCTCACAGCATGCTGATCAGGACAGATATTTGCCAGAAAATGATTGTGTTTTCCAGAGAAACATATTTCATGGAGACCCTGTAGAGGCCTTCATTTTTGTGCCCCACATGATAAATGTACACAGACAAAGATTTAAGTCCCATTTCAACAGGTGGGGGCTCGTCCGGGATTTGAACCCGGGACCTCTCACACCCGAAGCAAGAATCATGCCCCTAGACCAACGAGCCACCAGAGGCTGGTTTGCAGGGGGACAAAATGGACCAATATCCGTTTGGACAAAAGGCATGAAGTTGAAGATGATTTTGACACTGGAAAGTTTGCCAGCCAGCATTGTTATAAGTTGCAGACAATTTGATGGTTGGGTGGGACTGACAGAGAGGCACTTGGGAGACATGCACTTGTGCATCTGACTGTTGAAACCGTTTGTGCCAATGACCTCCTACTCCTTCCACATGTGACGGGCTCGTCCGGGATTTGAACCCGGGACCTCTCGCACCCTAAGCGAGAATCATACCCCTAGACCAACGAGCCACAATCTCTCGCAACAAAGACAACTCTAGCAGAGTTCCATTTGATCCAAAATCCTCACGCAGACCCCTAGCTTTCACTTTCAAAGTCTTGGCTTACTGAAATGCAAACTGAAAGGGTTCACACACAGCTGCAAATGAGAAAAAGGAGGCTTGGATCTGCACTAAATCATCAAAGTGGATGCACACAGCTACAGGCTAAGAGCCCGTTGCTTAAGCCAAGAGCAACATTTGACCCGTTTTGGTACCCAGACATGTCCTCTATCACATCCATGGCATCGTCACACTTGGACCTTTGTGAGAGGATCGTTCTTTAACGACCCATTGGCTGGAATCATTTGGATCGTTAGGATATATGCCAAGACAAACAATAGCACTCTGATGCTACGACAAGTGTGAAGCGATCGTCTGGGAGAAGTGGTTGCAGCTCTACTCATATTGAAAGCAGGTGCCTTTGCTTTGCAACATGACGCCACTGTACCTTGTCCAGGCATTTGACTACCTTAATTCTGAGAGTTTTGTCCATCTTTCAGCACCAGGTGGGTTGACCCTTTCTTCCAATCCAAGGAATGATGTTTTACAAAGTTTGTCTTGTAACGTTGGATCAGGTCATGACAATGTGCATTTTCAAATCTCAGTCTAAAGTATGTAGCCTCTTAACATGGTGGATGTCAGGGTATTAAGTGAATAGAGAGGGCTCGTCCGGGATTTAAACCCGGGACCTCTCGCACCCAAAGCGAGAATCATACCCCTAGACCAACGAGCCAGAATCTGCGCTGAGAAAATGATGGAGCAACTCTGGGGGTGGAATGAAAACAGCTCCTCAGTCCTCTAAATCAACGCAAAAGACTTTTGCGCGCTCAACTGCTCATTATGCACTTCCAACGCTACAACTGTATGAAATGTGTCCGTAATTTGCGTATCTGGTCTAAGATCATGCATTCGTCCTGCTTTTTGCCTGAAAAGGTGCTCACAGCATGCTGATCAGGACAGATATTTGCCAGAAAATGATTGTGTTTTCCAGAGAAACATATTTCATGAAGACCCTGTAGAGGCCTTCATTTTTGTGCCCCACATGATAAATGTACACAGACAAAGATTTAAGTCCCATTTCAACAGGTGGGGGCTCGTCCGGGATTTGAACCCGGGACCTCTCACACCCGAAGCAAGAATCATGCCCCTAGACCAACGAGCCACCAGAGGCTGGTTTGCAGGGGGACAAAATGGACCAATATCCGTTTGGACAAAAGGCATGAAGTTGAAGATGATTTTGACACTGGAAAGTTTGCCAGCCAGCATTGTTATAAGTTGCAGACAATTTGATGGTTGAGTGGGACTGACAGAGAGGCACTTGGGAGACATGCACTTGTGCATCTGACTGTTGAAACCGTTTGTGCCAATGACCTCCTACTCCTTCCACATGTGACGGGCTCGTCCGGGATTTGAACCCGGGACCTCTCGCACCCTAAGCGAGAATCATACCCCTAGACCAACGAGCCAGAATCTGCGCTGAGAAAATGATGGAGCAACTCTGGGGGTGGAATGAAAACAGCTCCTCAGTCCTCTAAATCAAGCAAAGATTTGTCCAAAACAAAGACTTTTGCGCGCTCAACTGCTCATTATGCACTTCCAACGCTACAACTGTATGAAATGTGTCCGTAATTTGCGTATCTGGTCTAAGATCATGCATTCGTCCTGCTTTTTGCCTGAAAAGGTGCTCACAGCATGCTGATCAGGACAGATATTTGCCAGAAAATGATTGTGTTTTCCAGAGAAACATATTTCATGAAGACCCTGTAGAGGCCTTCATTTTTGTGCCCCACATGATAAATGTACACAGACAAAGATTTAAGTCCCATTTCAACAGGTGGGGGCTCGTCCGGGATTTGAACCCGGGACCTCTCACACCCGAAGCAAGAATCATGCCCCTAGACCAACGAGCCACCAGAGGCTGGTTTGCAGGGGGACAAAATGGACCAATATCCGTTTGGACAAAAGGCATGAAGTTGAAGATGATTTTGACACTGGAAAGTTTGCCAGCCAGCATTGTTATAAGTTGCAGACAATTTGATGGTTGAGTGGGACTGACAGAGAGGCACTTGGGAGACATGCACTTGTGCATCTGACTGTTGAAACCGTTTGTGCCAATGACCTCCTACTCCTTCCACATGTGACGGGCTCGTCCGGGATTTGAACCCGGGACCTCTCGCACCCTAAGCGAGAATCATACCCCTAGACCAACGAGCCACAATCTCTCGCAACAAAGACAACTCTAGCAGAGTTCCATTTGATCCAAAATCCTCACGCAGACCCCTAGCTTTCACTTTCAAAGTCTTGGCTTACTGAAATGCAAACTGAAAGGGTTCACACACAGCTGCAAATGAGAAAAAGGAGGCTTGGATCTGCACTAAATCATCAAAGTGGATGCACACAGCTACAGGCTAAGAGCCCGTTGCTTAAGCCAAGAGCAACATTTGACCCGTTTTGGTACCCAGACATGTCCTCTATCACATCCATGGCATCGTCACACTTGGACCTTTGTGAGAGGATCGTTCTTTAACGACCCATTGGCTGGAATCATTTGGATCGTTAGGATATATGCCAAGACAAACAATAGCACTCTGATGCTACGACAAGTGTGAAGCGATCGTCTGGGAGAAGTGGTTGCAGCTCTACTCATATTGAAAGCAGGTGCCTTTGCTTTGCAACATGACGCCACTGTACCTTGTCCAGGCATTTGACTACCTTAATTCTGAGAGTTTTGTCCATCTTTCAGCACCAGGTGGGTTGACCCTTTCTTCCAATCCAAGGAATGATGTTTTACAAAGTTTGTCTTGTAACGTTGGATCAGGTCATGACAATGTGCATTTTCAAATCTCAGTCTAAAGTATGTAGCCTCTTAACATGGTGGATGTCAGGGTATTAAGTGAATAGAGAGGGCTCGTCCGGGATTTAAACCCGGGACCTCTCGCACCCAAAGCGAGAATCATACCCCTAGACCAACGAGCCAGAATCTGCGCTGAGAAAATGATGGAGCAACTCTGGGGGTGGAATGAAAACAGCTCCTCAGTCCTCTAAATCAACGCAAAAGACTTTTGCGCGCTCAACTGCTCATTATGCACTTCCAACGCTACAACTGTATGAAATGTGTCCGTAATTTGCGTATCTGGTCTAAGATCATGCATTCGTCCTGCTTTTTGCCTGAAAAGGTGCTCACAGCATGCTGATCAGGACAGATATTTGCCAGAAAATGATTGTGTTTTCCAGAGAAACATATTTCATGAAGACCCTGTAGAGGCCTTCATTTTTGTGCCCCACATGATAAATGTACACAGACAAAGATTTAAGTCCCATTTCAACAGGTGGGGGCTCGTCCGGGATTTGAACCCGGGACCTCTCACACCCGAAGCAAGAATCATGCCCCTAGACCAACGAGCCACCAGAGGCTGGTTTGCAGGGGGACAAAATGGACCAATATCCGTTTGGACAAAAGGCATGAAGTTGAAGATGATTTTGACACTGGAAAGTTTGCCAGCCAGCATTGTTATAAGTTGCAGACAATTTGATGGTTGAGTGGGACTGACAGAGAGGCACTTGGGAGACATGCACTTGTGCATCTGACTGTTGAAACCGTTTGTGCCAATGACCTCCTACTCCTTCCACATGTGACGGGCTCGTCCGGGATTTGAACCCGGGACCTCTCGCACCCTAAGCGAGAATCATACCCCTAGACCAACGAGCCACAATCTCTCGCAACAAAGACAACTCTAGCAGAGTTCCATTTGATCCAAAATCCTCACGCAGACCCCTAGCTTTCACTTTCAAAGTCTTGGCTTACTGAAATGCAAACTGAAAGGGTTCACACACAGCTGCAAATGAGAAAAAGGAGGCTTGGATCTGCACTAAATCATCAAAGTGGATGCACACAGCTACAGGCTAAGAGCCCGTTGCTTAAGCCAAGAGCAACATTTGACCCGTTTTGGTACCCAGACATGTCCTCTATCACATCCATGGCATCGTCACACTTGGACCTTTGTGAGAGGATCGTTCTTTAACGACCCATTGGCTGGGATCATTTGGATCGTTAGGATATATGCCAAGACAAACAATAGCACTCTGATGCTACGACAAGTGTGAAGCGATCGTCTGGGAGAAGTGGTTGCAGCTCTACTCATATTGAAAGCAGGTGCCTTTGCTTTGCAACATGACGCCACTGTACCTTGTCCAGGCATTTGACTACCTTAATTCTGAGAGTTTTGTCCATCTTTCAGCACCAGGTGGGTTGACCCTTTTTTCCAATCCAAGGAATGATGTTTTACAAAGTTTGTCTTGTAACGTTGGATCAGGTCATGACAATGTGCATTTTCAAATCTCAGTCTAAAGTATGTAGCCTCTTAACATGGTGGATGTCAGGGTATTAAGTGAACAGAGTGGGCTCGTCCGGGATTTGAACCCGGGACCTCTCGCACCCAAAGCGAGAATCATACCCCTAGACCAACGAGCCAGAATCTGGGCTGAGAAAATGATGGAGCAACTCTGGGGGTGGAATGAAAACAGCTCCTCAGTCCTCTAAATCAACGCAAAAGACTTTTGCGCGCTCAACTGCTCATTATGCACTTCCAACGCTACAACTGTATGAAATGTGTCCGTAATTTGCGTATCTGGTCTAAGATCATGCATTCGTCCTGCTTTTTGCCTGAAAAGGTGCTCACAGCATGCTGATCAGGACAGATATTTGCCAGAAAATGATTGTGTTTTCCAGAGAAACATATTTCATGAAGACCCTTTAGAGGCCTTCATTTTTGTGCCCCACATGATAAATGTACACAGACAAAGATTTAAGTCCCATTTCAACAGGTGGGGGCTCGTCCGGGATTTGAACCCGGGACCTCTCACACCCGAAGCAAGAATCATGCCCCTAGACCAACGAGCCACCAGAGGCTGGTTTGCAGGGGGACAAAATGGACCAATATCCGTTTGGACAAAAGGCATGAAGTTGAAGATGATTTTGACAATGGAAAGTTTGCCAGCCAGCATTGTTATAAGTTGCAGACAATTTGATGGTTGAGTGGGACTGACAGAGAGGCACTTGGGAGACATGCACTTGTGCATCTGACTGTTGAAACCGTTTGTGCCAATGACCTCCTACTCCTTCCACATGTGACGGGCTCGTCCGGGATTTGAACCCGGGACCTCTCGCACCCTAAGCGAGAATCATACCCCTAGACCAACGAGCCACAATCTCTCGCAACAAAGACAACTCTAGCAGAGTTCCATTTGATCCAAAATCCTCACGCAGACCCCTAGCTTTCACTTTCAAAGTCTTGGCTTACTGAAATGCAAACTGAAAGGGTTCACACACAGCTGCAAATGAGAAAAAGGAGGCTTGGATCTGCACTAAATCATCAAAGTGGATGCACACAGCTACAGGCTAAGAGCCCGTTGCTTAAGCCAAGAGCAACATTTGACCCGTTTTGGTACCCAGACATGTCCTCTATCACATCCATGGCATCGTCACACTTGGACCTTTGTGAGAGGATCGTTCTTTAACGACCCATTGGCTGGGATCATTTGGATCGTTAGGATATATGCCAAGACAAACAATAGCACTCTGATGCTACGACAAGTGTGAAGCGATCGTCTGGGAGAAGTGGTTGCAGCTCTACTCATATTGAAAGCAGGTGCCTTTGCTTTGCAACATGACGCCACTGTACCTTGTCCAGGCATTTGACTACCTTAATTCTGAGAGTTTTGTCCATCTTTCAGCACCAGGTGGGTTGACCCTTTTTTCCAATCCAAGGAATGATGTTTTACAAAGTTTGTCTTGTAACGTTGGATCAGGTCATGACAATGTGCATTTTCAAATCTCAGTCTAAAGTATGTAGCCTCTTAACATGGTGGATGTCAGGGTATTAAGTGAACAGAGTGGGCTCGTCCGGGATTTGAACCCGGGACCTCTCGCACCCAAAGCGAGAATCATACCCCTAGACCAACGAGCCAGAATCTGGGCTGAGAAAATGATGGAGCAACTCTGGGGGTGGAATGAAAACAGCTCCTCAGTCCTCTAAATCAACGCAAAAGACTTTTGCGCGCTCAACTGCTCATTATGCACTTCCAACGCTACAACTGTATGAAATGTGTCCGTAATTTGCGTATCTGGTCTAAGATCATGCATTCGTCCTGCTTTTTGCCTGAAAAGGTGCTCACAGCATGCTGATCAGGACAGATATTTGCCAGAAAATGATTGTGTTTTCCAGAGAAACATATTTCATGAAGACCCTTTAGAGGCCTTCATTTTTGTGCCCCACATGATAAATGTACACAGACAAAGATTTAAGTCCCATTTCAACAGGTGGGGGCTCGTCCGGGATTTGAACCCGGGACCTCTCACACCCGAAGCAAGAATCATGCCCCTAGACCAACGGGCCAGCCACCAGAGGCTGGTTTGCAGGGGGACAAAATGGACCAATATCCGTTTGGACAAAAGGCATGAAGTTGAAGATGATTTTGACAATGGAAAGTTTGCCAGCCAGCATTGTTATAAGTTGCAGACAATTTGATGGTTGAGTGGGACTGACAGAGAGGCACTTGGGAGACATGCACTTGTGCATCTGACTGTTGAAACCGTTTGTGCCAATGACCTCCTACTCCTTCCACATGTGACGGGCTCGTCCGGGATTTGAACCCGGGACCTCTCGCACCCTAAGCGAGAATCATACCCCTAGACCAACGAGCCACAATCTCTCGCAACAAAGACAACTCTAGCAGAGTTCCATTTGATCCAAAATCCTCACGCAGACCCCTAGCTTTCACTTTCAAAGTCTTGGCTTACTGAAATGCAAACTGAAAGGGTTCACACACAGCTGCAAATGAGAAAAAGGAGGCTTGGATCTGCACTAAATCATCAAAGTGGATGCACACAGCTACAGGCTAAGAGCCCGTTGCTTAAGCCAAGAGCAACATTTGACCCGTTTTGGTACCCAGACATGTCCTCTATCACATCCATGGCATCGTCACACTTGGACCTTTGTGAGAGGATCGTTCTTTAACGACCCATTGGCTGGGATCATTTGGATCGTTAGGATATATGCCAAGACAAACAATAGCACTCTGATGCTACGACAAGTGTGAAGCGATCGTCTGGGAGAAGTGGTTGCAGCTCTACTCATATTGAAAGCAGGTGCCTTTGCTTTGCAACATGACGCCACTGTACCTTGTCCAGGCATTTGACTACCTTAATTCTGAGAGTTTTGTCCATCTTTCAGCACCAGGTGGGTTGACCCTTTTTTCCAATCCAAGGAATGATGTTTTACAAAGTTTGTCTTGTAACGTTGGATCAGGTCATGACAATGTGCATTTTCAAATCTCAGTCTAAAGTATGTAGCCTCTTAACATGGTGGATGTCAGGGTATTAAGTGAACAGAGTGGGCTCGTCCGGGATTTGAACCCGGGACCTCTCGCACCCAAAGCGAGAATCATACCCCTAGACCAACGAGCCAGAATCTGGGCTGAGAAAATGATGGAGCAACTCTGGGGGTGGAATGAAAACAGCTCCTCAGTCCTCTAAATCAACGCAAAAGACTTTTGCGCGCTCAACTGCTCATTATGCACTTCCAACGCTACAACTGTATGAAATGTGTCCGTAATTTGCGTATCTGGTCTAAGATCATGCATTCGTCCTGCTTTTTGCCTGAAAAGGTGCTCACAGCATGCTGATCAGGACAGATATTTGCCAGAAAATGATTGTGTTTTCCAGAGAAACATATTTCATGAAGACCCTTTAGAGGCCTTCATTTTTGTGCCCCACATGATAAATGTACACAGACAAAGATTTAAGTCCCATTTCAACAGGTGGGGGCTCGTCCGGGATTTGAACCCGGGACCTCTCACACCCGAAGCAAGAATCATGCCCCTAGACCAACGAGCCACCAGAGGCTGGTTTGCAGGGGGACAAAATGGACCAATATCCGTTTGGACAAAAGGCATGAAGTTGAAGATGATTTTGACAATGGAAAGTTTGCCAGCCAGCATTGTTATAAGTTGCAGACAATTTGATGGTTGAGTGGGACTGACAGAGAGGCACTTGGGAGACATGCACTTGTGCATCTGACTGTTGAAACCGTTTGTGCCAATGACCTCCTACTCCTTCCACATGTGACGGGCTCGTCCGGGATTTGAACCCGGGACCTCTCGCACCCTAAGCGAGAATCATACCCCTAGACCAACGAGCCACAATCTCTCGCAACAAAGACAACTCTAGCAGAGTTCCATTTGATCCAAAATCCTCACGCAGACCCCTAGCTTTCACTTTCAAAGTCTTGGCTTACTGAAATGCAAACTGAAAGGGTTCACACACAGCTGCAAATGAGAAAAAGGAGGCTTGGATCTGCACTAAATCATCAAAGTGGATGCACACAGCTACAGGCTAAGAGCCCGTTGCTTAAGCCAAGAGCAACATTTGACCCGTTTTGGTACCCAGACATGTCCTCTATCACATCCATGGCATCGTCACACTTGGACCTTTGTGAGAGGATCGTTCTTTAACGACCCATTGGCTGGAATCATTTGGATCGTTAGGATATATGCCAAGACAAACAATAGCACTCTGATGCTACGACAAGTGTGAAGCGATCGTCTGGGAGAAGTGGTTGCAGCTCTACTCATATTGAAAGCAGGTGCCTTTGCTTTGCAACATGACGCCACTGTACCTTGTCCAGGCATTTGACTACCTTAATTCTGAGAGTTTTGTCCATCTTTCAGCACCAGGTGGGTTGACCCTTTCTTCCAATCCAAGGAATGATGTTTTACAAAGTTTGTCTTGTAACGTTGGATCAGGTCATGACAATGTGCATTTTCAAATCTCAGTCTAAAGTATGTAGCCTCTTAACATGGTGGATGTCAGGGTATTAAGTGAATAGAGAGGGCTCGTCCGGGATTTAAACCCGGGACCTCTCGCACCCAAAGCGAGAATCATACCCCTAGACCAACGAGCCAGAATCTGCGCTGAGAAAATGATGGAGCAACTCTGGGGGTGGAATGAAAACAGCTCCTCAGTCCTCTAAATCAACGCAAAAGACTTTTGCGCGCTCAACTGCTCATTATGCACTTCCAACGCTACAACTGTATGAAATGTGTCCGTAATTTGCGTATCTGGTCTAAGATCATGCATTCGTCCTGCTTTTTGCCTGAAAAGGTGCTCACAGCATGCTGATCAGGACAGATATTTGCCAGAAAATGATTGTGTTTTCCAGAGAAACATATTTCATGAAGACCCTGTAGAGGCCTTCATTTTTGTGCCCCACATGATAAATGTACACAGACAAAGATTTAAGTCCCATTTCAACAGGTGGGGGCTCGTCCGGGATTTGAACCCGGGACCTCTCACACCCTAAGCTAGAATCATTCCCCTAGACCAACGAGCCACCAGAGGCTGGTTTGCAGGGGGACAAAATGGACCAATATCCGTTTGGACAAAAGGCATGAAGTTGAAGATGATTTTGACACTGGAAAGTTTGCCAGCCAGCATTGTTATAAGTTGCAGACAATTTGATGGTTGAGTGGGACTGACAGAGAGGCACTTGGGAGACATGCACTTGTGCATCTGACTGTTGAAACCGTTTGTGCCAATGACCTCCTACTCCTTCCACATGTGACGGGCTCGTCCGGGATTTGAACCCGGGACCTCTCGCACCCTAAGCGAGAATCATACCCCTAGACCAACGAGCCACAATCTCTCGCAACAAAGACAACTCTAGCAGAGTTCCATTTGATCCAAAATCCTCACGCAGACCCCTAGCTTTCACTTTCAAAGTCTTGGCTTACTGAAATGCAAACTGAAAGGGTTCACACACAGCTGCAAATGAGAAAAAGGAGGCTTGGATCTGCACTAAATCATCAAAGTGGATGCACACAGCTACAGGCTAAGAGCCCGTTGCTTAAGCCAAGAGCAACATTTGACCCGTTTTGGTACCCAGACATGTCCTCTATCACATCCATGGCATCGTCACACTTGGACCTTTGTGAGAGGTTCGTTCTTTAACGACCCATTGGCTGGGATCATTTGGATCGTTAGGATATATGCCAAGACAAACAATAGCACTCTGATGCTACGACAAGTGTGAAGCGATCGTCTGGGAGAAGTGGTTGCAGCTCTACTCATATTGAAAGCAGGTGCCTTTGCTTTGCAACATGACGCCACTGTACCTTGTCCAGGCATTTGACTACCTTAATTCTGAGAGTTTTGTCCATCTTTCAGCACCAGGTGGGTTGACCCTTTTTTCCAATCCAAGGAATGATGTTTTACAAAGTTTGTCTTGTAACGTTGGATCAGGTCATGACAATGTGCATTTTCAAATCTCAGTCTAAAGTATGTAGCCTCTTAACATGGTGGATGTCAGGGTATTAAGTGAACAGAGTGGGCTCGTCCGGGATTTGAACCCGGGACCTCTCGCACCCAAAGCGAGAATCATACCCCTAGACCAACGAGCCAGAATCTGGGCTGAGAAAATGATGGAGCAACTCTGGGGGTGGAATGAAAACAGCTCCTCAGTCCTCTAAATCAACGCAAAAGACTTTTGCGCGCTCAACTGCTCATTATGCACTTCCAACGCTACAACTGTATGAAATGTGTCCGTAATTTGCGTATCTGGTCTAAGATCATGCATTCGTCCTGCTTTTTGCCTGAAAAGGTGCTCACAGCATGCTGATCAGGACAGATATTTGCCAGAAAATGATTGTGTTTTCCAGAGAAACATATTTCATGAAGACCCTTTAGAGGCCTTCATTTTTGTGCCCCACATGATAAATGTACACAGACAAAGATTTAAGTCCCATTTCAACAGGTGGGGGCTCGTCCGGGATTTGAACCCGGGACCTCTCACACCCGAAGCAAGAATCATGCCCCTAGACCAACGAGCCACCAGAGGCTGGTTTGCAGGGGGACAAAATGGACCAATATCCGTTTGGACAAAAGGCATGAAGTTGAAGATGATTTTGACAATGGAAAGTTTGCCAGCCAGCATTGTTATAAGTTGCAGACAATTTGATGGTTGAGTGGGACTGACAGAGAGGCACTTGGGAGACATGCACTTGTGCATCTGACTGTTGAAACCGTTTGTGCCAATGACCTCCTACTCCTTCCACATGTGACGGGCTCGTCCGGGATTTGAACCCGGGACCTCTCGCACCCTAAGCGAGAATCATACCCCTAGACCAACGAGCCACAATCTCTCGCAACAAAGACAACTCTAGCAGAGTTCCATTTGATCCAAAATCCTCACGCAGACCCCTAGCTTTCACTTTCAAAGTCTTGGCTTACTGAAATGCAAACTGAAAGGGTTCACACACAGCTGCAAATGAGAAAAAGGAGGCTTGGATCTGCACTAAATCATCAAAGTGGATGCACACAGCTACAGGCTAAGAGCCCGTTGCTTAAGCCAAGAGCAACATTTGACCCGTTTTGGTACCCAGACATGTCTTCTATCACATCCATGGCATCGTCACACTTGGACCTTTGTGAGAGGATCGTTCTTTAACGACCCATTGGCTGGAATCATTTGGATCGTTAGGATATATGCCAAGACAAACAATAGCACTCTGATGCTACGACAAGTGTGAAGCGATCGTCTGGGAGAAGTGGTTGCAGCTCTACTCATATTGAAAGCAGGTGCCTTTGCTTTGCAACATGACGCCACTGTACCTTGTCCAGGCATTTGACTACCTTAATTCTGAGAGTTTTGTCCATCTTTCAGCACCAGGTGGGTTGACCCTTTCTTCCAATCCAAGGAATGATGTTTTACAAAGTTTGTCTTGTAACGTTGGATCAGGTCATGACACTGTGCATTTTCAAATCTCAGTCTAAAGTATGTAGCCTCTTAACATGGTGGATGTCAGGGTATTAAGTGAATAGAGAGGGCTCGTCCGGGATTTGAACCCGGGACCTCTCGCACCCAAAGCGAGAATCATACCCCTAGACCAACGAGCCACAATCTGGACTGAGAAAATGATGGAGCAACTCTGGGGGTGGAATGAAAACAGCTCCTCAGTCCTCTAAATCAACGCAAAAGACTTTTGTGCGCTCAACTGCTCATTATGCACTTCCAACGCTACAACTGTATGAAATGTGTCCGTAATTTGCGTATCTGGTCTAAGATCATGCATTCGTCCTGCTTTTTGCCTGAAAAGGTGCTCACAGCATGCTGATCAGGACAGATATTTGCCAGAAAATGATTGTGTTTTCCAGAGAAACATATTTCATGGAGACCCTGTAGAGGCCTTCATTTATGTGCCCCACATGATAAATGTACACAGACAAAGATTTAAGTCCCATTTCAACAGGTGGGGGCTCGTCCGGGATTTGAACCCGGGACCTCTCACACCCGAAGCAAGAATCATGCCCCTAGACCAACGAGCCACCAGAGGCTGGTTTGCAGGGGGACAAAATGGACCAATATCCGTTTGGACAAAAGGCATGAAGTTGAAGATGATTTTGACAATGGAAAGTTTGCCAGCCAGCATTGTTATAAGTTGCAGACAATTTGATGGTTGGGTGGGACTGACAGAGAGGCACTTGGGAGACATGCACTTGTGCATCTGACTGTCGAAACCGTTTGTGCCAATGACCTCCTACTCCTTCCACATGTGACGGGCTCGTCCAGGATTTGAACCCGGAACCTCTCGCACCCTAAGCGAGAATCATACCCCTAGACCAACGAGCCACAATCTCTCACAACAAAGACAACTCTAGCAGAGTTCCATTTGATCCAAAAGCCTCACGCAGACCCCTAGCTTTCACTTTCAAAGTCTTGGCTTACTGAAATGCAAACTGAAAGGGTTCACACACAGCTGCAAATGAGAAAAAGGAGGCTTGGATCTGCACTAAATCATCAAAGTGGATGCACACAGCTACAGGCTAAGAGCCCGTTGCTTAAGCCAAGAGCAACATTTGACCCGTTTTGGTACCCAGACATGTCCTCTATCACATCCATGGCATCGTCACACCTTTGGACCTTTGTGAGAGGATCGTTCTTTAACGACCCCTTGGCTGGGATCATTTGGATCGTTAGGATATATGCCAAGACAAACAATAGCACTCTGATGCTACGACAAGTGTGAAGCGATCGTCTGGGAGAAGTGGTTGCAGCTCTACTCATATTGAAAGCAGGTGCCTTTGCTTTGCAACATGACGCCACTGTACCTTGTCCAGGCATTTGACTACCTTAATTCTGAGAGTTTTGTCCATCTTTCAGCACCAGGTGGGTTGACCCTTTCTTCCAATCCAAGGAATGATGTTTTACAAAGTTTGTCTTGTAACGTTGGATCAGGTCATGACACTGTGCATTTTCAAATCTCAGTCTAAAGTATGTAGCCTCTTAACATGGTGGATGTCAGGGTATTAAGTGAACAGAGTGGGCTAGTTCCGGGATTTGAACCCGGGACCTCTCGCACCCAAAGCGAGAATCATACCCCTAGACCAACGAGCCAGAATCTGGGCTGAGAAAATGATGGAGCAACTCTGGGGGTGGAATGAAAACAGCTCCTCAGTCCTCTAAATCAACGCAAAAGACTTTTGCGCGCTCAACTGCTCATTATGCACTTCCAACGCTACAACTGTATGAAATGTGTCCGTAATTTGCGTATCTGGTCTAAGATCATGCATTCGTCCTGCTTTTTGCCTGAAAAGGTGCTCACAGCATGCTGATCAGGACAGATATTTGCCAGAGAATGATTGTGTTTTCCAGAGAAACATATTTCATGGAGACCCTGTAGAGGCCTTCATTTTTGTGCCCCAAATGATAAATGTACACAGACAAAGATTTAAGTCCCATTTCAACAGGTGGGGGCTCGTCCGGGATTTGAACCCGGGACCTCTCACACCCGAAGCAAGAATCATGCCCATAGACCAACGAGCCACCAGAGGCTCATTTGCAGGGGGACAAAATGGACCAATATCCGTTTGGACAAAAGGCATGAAGTTGAAGATGATTTTGACACTGGAAAGTTTGCCAGCCAGCATTGTTATAAGTTGCAGACAATTTGATGGTTGGGTGGGACTGACAGAGAGGCACTTGGGAGACACGCACTTGTGCATCTGACTGTTGAAACCGTTTGTGCCAATGACCTCCTACTCCTTCCACATGTGACGGGCTCGTCCGGGATTTGAACCCGGGACCTCTCGCACCCTAAGCGAGAATCATACCCCTAGACCAACGAGCCACAATCTCTCGCAACAAAGACAACTCTAGCAGAGTTCCATTTGATCCAAAATCCTCACGCAGACCCCTAGCTTTCACTTTCAAAGTCTTGGCTTACTGAAATGCAAACTGAAAGGGTTCACACACAGCTGCAAATGAGAAAAAGGAGGCTTGGATCTGCACTAAATCATCAAAGTGGATGCACACAGCTACAGGCTAAGAGCCCGTTGCTTAAGCCAAGAGCAACATTTGACCCGTTTTGGTACCCAGACATGTCCTCTATCACATCCATGGCATCGTCACACTTGGACCTTTGTGAGAGGATCGTTCTTTAACGACCCATCGGCTGGAATCATTTGGATCGTTAGGATATATGCCAAGACAAACAATAGCACTCTGATGCTACGACAAGTGTGAAGCGATCGTCTGGGAGAAGTGGTTGCAGCTCTACTCATATTGAAAGCAGGTGCCTTTGCTTTGCAACATGACGCCACTGTACCTTGTCCAGGCATTTGACTACCTTAATTCTGAGAGTTTTGTCCATCTTTCAGCACCAGGTGGGTTGACCCTTTGTTCCAATCCAAGGAATGATGTTTTACAAAGTTTGTCTTGTAACGTTGGATCAGGTCATGACACTGTGCATTTTCAAATCTCAGTCTAAAGTATGTAGCCTCTTAACATGGTGGATGTCAGGGTATTAAGTGAACAGAGTGGGCTCGTCCGGGATTTGAACCCGGGACCTCTCGCACCCAAAGCGAGAATCATACCCCTAGACCAACGAGCCACAATCTGGGCTGAGAAAATGATGGAGCAACTCTGGGGGTGGAATGAAAACAGCTCTTCAGTCCTCTAAATCAACACAAAAGACTTTTGCGCGCTCAACTGCTCATTATGCACTTCCAACGCTACAACTGTATGAAATGTGTCCGTAATTTGCGTATCTGGTCTAAGATCATGCATTCGTCCTGCTTTTTGCCTGAAAAGGTGCTCACGGCATGCTGATCAGGACAGATATTTGCCAGAAAATGATTGTGTTTTCCAGAGAAACATATTTCATGGAGACCCTGTAGAGGCCTTCATTTCTGTGCCCCACATGATAAATGTACACAGACAAAGATTTAAGTCCCATTTCAACAGGTGGGGGCTCGTCCGGGATTTGAACCCGGGACCTCTCACACCCGAAGCAAGAATTATGCCCCTAGACCAACGAACCACCAGAGGCTGGTTTGCAGGGGGACAAAATGGACCAATATCCGTTTGGACAAAAGGCATGAAGTTGAAGATGATTTTGACACTGGAAAGTTTGCCAGCCAGTATTGTTATAAGTTGCAGACAATTCGATGGTTGGGTGGGATTGACAGAGAGGCACTTGGGAGACATGCACTTGTGCATCTGACTGTTGAAACCGTTTGTGCCAATGACCTCCTACTCCTTCCACATGTGACGGGCTCGTCCGGGATTTGAACCCGGGACCTCTCGCACCCTAAGCGAGAATCATACCCCTAGACCAACGAGCCACAATCTCTCGCAACAAAGACAACTCTAGCAGAGTTCCATTTGATCCAAAATCCTCACGCAGACCCCTAGCTTTCACTTTCAAAGTCTTGGCTTACTGAAATGCAAACTGAAAGGGTTCACACACAGCTGCAAATGAGAAAAAGGAGGCTTGGATCTGCACTAAATCATCAAAGTGGATGCACACAGCTACAGGCTAAGAGCCCGTTGCTTAAGCCAAGAGCAACATTTGACCCATTTTGGTACCCAGACATGTCCTCTATCACATCCATGGCATCGTCACACTTGGACCTTTGTGAGAGGATCGTTCTTTAACGACCCCTTGGCTGGGATCATTTGGATCGTTAGGATATATGCCAAGACAAACAATAGCACTCTGATGCTACGACAAGTGTGAAGCGATCGTCTGGGAGAAGTGGTTGCAGCTCTACTCATATTGAAAGCAGGTGCCTTTGCTTTGCAACATGACGCCACTGTACCTTGTCCAGGCATTTGACTACCTTAATTCTGAGAGTTTTGTCCATCTTTCAGCACCAGGTGGGTTGACCCTTTCTTCCAATCCAAGGAATGATGTTTTACAAAGTTTGTCTTGTAACGTTGGATCAGGTCATGACACTGTGCATTTTCAAATCTCAGTCTAAAGTATGTAGCCTCTTAAGTGAACAGAGTGGGCTCGTCCGGGATTTGAACCCGGGACCTCTCGCACCCAAAGCGAGAATCATACCCCTAGACCAACGAGCCACAATCTGGGCTGAGAAAATGATGGAGCAACTCTGGGGGTGGAATGAAAACAGCTCTTCAGTCCTCTAAATCAACGCAAAAGACTTTTGCGCGCTCAACTGCTCATTATGCACTTCCAACGCTACAACTGTATGAAATGTGTCCGTAATTTGCGTATCTGGTCTAAGATCATGCATTCGTCCTGCTTTTTGCCTGAAAAGGTGCTCACGGCATGCTGATCAGGACAGATATTTGCCAGAAAATGATTGTGTTTTCCAGAGAAACATATTTCATGGAGACCCTGTAGAGGCCTTCATTTCTGTGCCCCACATGATAAATGTACACAGACAAAGATTTAAGTCCCATTTCAACAGGTGGGGGCTCGTCCGGGATTTGAACCCGGGACCTCTCACACCCGAAGCAAGAATTATGCCCCTAGACCAACGAACCACCAGAGGCTGGTTTGCAGGGGGACAAAATGGACCAATATCCGTTTGGACAAAAGGCATGAAGTTGAAGATGATTTTGACACTGGAAAGTTTGCCAGCCAGTATTGTTATAAGTTGCAGACAATTCGATGGTTGGGTGGGATTGACAGAGAGGCACTTGGGAGACATGCACTTGTGCATCTGACTGTTGAAACCGTTTGTGCCAATGACCTCCTACTCCTTCCACATGTGACGGGCTCGTCCGGGATTTGAACCCGGGACCTCTCGCACCCTAAGCGAGAATCATACCCCTAGACCAACGAGCCACAATCTCTCGCAACAAAGACAACTCTAGCAGAGTTCCATTTGATCCAAAATCCTCACGCAGACCCCTAGCTTTCACTTTCAAAGTCTTGGCTTACTGAAATGCAAACTGAAAGGGTTCACACACAGCTGCAAATGAGAAAAAGGAGGCTTGGATCTGCACTAAATCATCAAAGTGGATGCACACAGCTACAGGCTAAGAGCCCGTTGCTTAAGCCAAGAGCAACATTTGACCCGTTTTGGTACCCAGACATGTCCTCTATCCAGGCCCGGATTAAACCTTCTGTGGCCCCTGAGGCTAAGCAAACCTAATGGCCCCCCTCTGTCCCGTGCGCGTCAAAAATTGGCAGTTTTTATTGGTCATTTTGTGGAAATTACTGCAGTTATGGGTGGTTATTTAACAGTTCCACTAGCCACCACCTCTAGCCAAACCACTGGGTTAATACAACTGTGTGTCTGAACTCAATTTAACAAGAGGTAGTGAAAAAAGTCTTCAAGGAAAGCACAGAGGCTGGTGTACAGTTCACTTTTTTACTGAGAAACCAATACAAAAACAATAATAAAGTCAAAAACAGTGCGGCATAATAAATAAAAGTGCAAGGCATGGTATGAAGGCCTATTATGGTTATACAATGCCATCAGTGCAATAAATAAAATACAGATATGCCAGAGAAACCAATACAAAAACAATAATAAAGTCAAAAACAGTGCGGCATTATAAATAAAAGTGCAAGGCATTAAACATAAAATCACTGCTATCTCACCGCTATCACTTTAACAAAACCACAGTAGCCCAGTAGGGCAAGGCCTCATAACTAAAATGCTTTCTTCCTGGCTTTGCGTACTGCGAAATCCTTCACTGTATCTGTAAAGTCCATTTTTCTGACAATGTCAGACGAAAGGGACATGCGAGTAAGATTGCACAATCTGTCTTGTACCATCGTTGACCGCAAACGACTCTTAACCAATGCCAGCTTGCTAAAGGACCGCTCTCCTGAAGCATTGGTGATGGGCAATGTGAGATATAGTCGCAGTGCTATGTCTACATTTGGGAATACACTTTGCAAGCTTCTACTACGAATAAATTGCATTAACTGCTTTGATGACATGGTGTCTTCATTCCTGCAGAAGCTTTGAAACTGCACAATCTCATCAGGAAAATCCAAATTCAAATCTCCAGCATATTTTTCTTGCAATCGCATAGCTGCTGACCTTAGTTTCTGTTCAGAATCTGTTTTGATGGTACTCAAGAAAGAAAAGAGCTTGCTCACAGCTTTGTAGGACGCGGATCTGCTTTTTAGTTCTGCCATTAACCTGTCAATAATGACATTAAATACATCCACAATAAATCTGTTCCTGCCTGTCAAAGATACATCTGGTTCGTTTGATTCATCAGCATGTTTTTTACGCATGCGTTTCCTCTGAGTGTCCTGCTTGTATGTCTCAGACACATCAGGAAACGCATCGCGTGCTGCAGTCTCAAATCGTGCAAAGTCATCTCTAAGTGTCCCAATAAAGTCACTTAATGAGGAAATCAAGGTATCTGCATTCATGAGATCTCGATCGACAGCTTGCAAGTGGACACTTACTTTATCAACCCTTTGTAACACACAATCCCAGAATTGACACAGAATCGCATTCTCTAATTTTTTCATGTTGTTTGCCAGAGCCTTTGCTTCATTTTGGGTCGATACATTTTGCGTTTCCTCTCCCGACAACTGCACCAATGATTGGTGGATGTTTGCATAATTGAGGGTCAAAGCCCTTGTTGCCGCTGCATGTGCTGACCATCTAGTGTCTGACAGAGATTTCAGGTGTTCAATTCTTCTATTCTCATTTTGGCCAAGGTTACTGCTGATGATTTCCCATCGTGATGGTGATGCAGAACAGAAATTAAACAGGTTCTGAACAAGATTGAAGAAATCATTTGATTCCATGCAGCAGTTAACAGCATTGACTCCCACCAAATTTAGAGAATGCGCTGCGCAGGGGACCCACTCTGCAAGGGGATTTATTTGGCGTATGCGAGCTTGTACACCCTTGTATATGCCAGACATATTACTTGCATTGTCGTAACACTGACCACGACAGTTTTGGATGTCAATGCCCAATTCATTCAACACTCCCATCACAGCATTGAAAAGTGATTCACCCACATGGCTTGTTATTGGAAGGAATTCTAGGAACCGTTCTTCGACTTGGCCCTCTGGAGACACGTAGCGCATAATAAATGTCAGCTGATCAATATGAGACACATCTGGTGACGAGTCTACACTGATTGAAAAGTATTTAGCCAGTTTTACCTCTATCACATCCATGGCATCGTCACACTTGGACCTTTGTGAGAGGATCGTTCTTTAACGACCCATTGGCTGGGATCATTTGGATCGTTAGGATATATGCCAAGACAAACAATAGCACTCTAAAGCTACGACAAGTGTGAAGCGATCGTCTGGGAGAAGTGGTTGCAGCTCTACTCATATTGAAAGCAGGTGCCTTTGCTTTGCAACGTGACGCCACTGTACCTTGTCCAGGCATTTGACTACCTTAATTCTGAGAGTTTTGTCCATCTTTCAGCACCAGGTGGGTTGACCCTTTCTTCCAATCCAAGGAATGATGTTTTACAAAGTTTGTCTTGTAACGTTGGATCAGGTCATGACACTGTGCATTTTCAAATCTCAGTCTAAAGTATGTAGCCTCTTAACATGGTGGATGTCAGGGTATTAAGTGAACAGAGTGGGCTCGTCCGGGATTTGAACCCGGGACCTCTCGCACCCAAAGCGAGAATCATACCCCTAGACCAACGAGCCACAATCTGGGCTGAGAAAATGATGGAGCAACTCTGGGGGTGGAATGAAAACAGCTCCTCAGTCCTCTAAATGAACGCAAAAGACTTTTGCGCGCTCAACTGCTCATTATGCACTTCCAACGCTACAACTGTATGAAATGTGTCCGTAATTTGCGTATCTGGTCTAAGATCATGCATTCGTCCTGCTTTTTGCCTGAAAAGGTGCTCACAGCATGCTGATCAGGACAGATATTTGCCAGAAAATGATTGTGTTTTCCACAGAAACATATTTCATGGAGACCCTGTAGAGGCCTTCATTTTTGTGCGCCACATGATAAATGTACACAGACAAAGATTTAGGTCCCATTTCAACAGGTGGGGGCTCATCCGGGATTTGAACCCGGGACCTCTCACACCCGAAGCAAGAATCATGCCCCTAGACCAACGAGCCACCAGAGGCTGGTTTGCAGGGGGACAAAATGGACCAATATCCGTTTGGACATAAGGCATGAAGTTGAAGATGATCTTGACACTGGAAAGTTTGCCAGCCAGCATTGTTATAAGTTGCAGACAATTTGATGGTTGGGTGGGACTGACAGAGAGGCACTTGGGAGACATGCACTTGTGCATCTGACTGTTGAAACCGTTTGTGCCAATGACCTCCTACTCCTTCCACATGTGACGGGCTCGTCCGGGATTTGAACCCGGGACCTCTCGCACCCAAAGCG